CACAAGGGGCTTTGAACTCAAACCGGGTGAATACAAGGATCTGTGAATTTGAGCACTTGGACTTGTGCACTCGGACTTGAACTCAACGAAACTGCAAGAACTTCAATGAATCATAAAGGAGCTAATTTGAACGAAACTGCAAGAACTCAACGAAACTGCAGGAACTTCAATGAACCAGGGTCATCCATAAATCTAATGAGCAAGAAAGCACTAAGATTATTATGCCTTGATGTAGAGCATCTTGGGTCAGATAAGCTAATGGTACATGAATTTAATGAGAAAATGCAGAAGACCCTGGGATCATTTACGCTCTCTCTCTCACATTTGGAGAACTCCATACATATGCCAAATTCCATGTGATTGATGCAGATACCGTATTTAAGGCGCTTCTTGGTCGCCCATGGTTGCATGAGTATGGCGTCATCCCATCAATACTACAAAAATGCATGAAGTACCTGAGGGATGGAGAGGAATTCAGAATCTCTGATGACATTCAACCCTTTGCAGTTCATGAAGTGAAGATATATGAAGATGTAAAGTACTTCATTCCAAAGAAGTTGAAGCCATCGAGCTCTCTTGAGGTCCAGGTATCAGACCCAAAAGTTGAAAAATAACCTAGACAAGAAACCAAGAAGAAGTAGGTGGGGAGAAAGAAGGCAACGCCGACTCTTCCCAAGGTATCAACCATCCCGAAAGAAAGAAGATACGTACCTCGTCTAGGGAGTGACACCGATGAAGATGATGTCACATCTACCAAATCCCGAAGAGTATGTCATTCCATGATCAAATGGAATAGGGAGGTTGAATTTTCAAATGATGATTATGATTATGACTCTATTTACATGAATATTGTGCAAGGTGTATTCTCAAAAAGAATAGACAGTTTATTAATCTCAGATAGCGTATTCATAGTCACACGTGTTCCCTTGCAGCACTTCAAAGAAGTCATTTCTCGAGAGGTGCATAATATTAAAGAGCTCATGACATTTTATGTACCTCTCCTAAGAGAAAAGAATGGACCAGCGAGTCTATTTTATTCAATTGGGAAACTCGAAGAAGAGATAAATTGAGATTGGTTTCATACACTCGTTGATTCTAAGGAATTAGTACTTACGAGGTTTCCCAGGTACAATACCAGAAATATTCAAAGAATATTACAAAAATGAGATAAAACTCATTCCTCCAAACAACAAGTTCGTTTCTGCTTGAGCCTCTGGTATCAAAGAAATCCCCACTCAATAAATAAGAAGGATATTTTTGCGAAAAATGGTTTGGGATTTATTGCACGAAAGTACCCCATAAATGAGATTTGTCGAGCAATCACATGCGAGGAAATTAAATCCGATGATGATGGTGATGAGGAGGTGTACGAAGTTGATGATTACGATGAGCAACCTGTAGAAGACAAACTTGAACCAGAAGAACTTGAAGATGGTGGATAGACGGCCACTATGGATGAGTTAAAAGAAATCAACTTAGGAACTAAGGAGGATCCTCGCCCAACCTTCATTAGTTCCCTTCTATCAGAAAAACAAGTGGAAGAAATGAAGAAGCTTCTCTGTGAATTTAGGGACTACTTTGCCTGGACATATATTGAGATGTTCGGCTTATCCCATGATGTGAGAGTTCACAGATTGGCCATCAAACCAGATGCAGCACCTATCAAATAAGCTCCAAGGAGGATGAGATTGGAGATTGGAGATTGGAGATTGAAGAACAGGTGATCACAGAAATAAAGAAACTTATAGAGGAAGGCTTCATACGAGAAGAAAAATACACTGATTTGATTGCCAATAACGTCCCTATGAAGAAGAAGAACTGATAGATGCATATCTATATCGACTTTAGGACCTCAACAAGGCGTACCCAAAAGATGACTTTCCACTCTCTATGTCAGAACTACTAGTGGACAACACTTCCAACTATGATATGTTCTCGTTCATGGACGGATCGTTAGGCTACAACCAAATCAAAATGACGTCAGAAGATGAAAAACACACATCCTTTAGAATGCCCATTGGCATTTTCTATTATACAGTTATACCCTTCGGCCTAAAAAATGCTTGTGCCACCTATCAACTAGCGATGACTCGTATATTTGATGATTTGATTCATCAAAAAGTCGAATGCTATATAGATGACTTGGTCGTTAAGAGCATGGACCAGAGAGATCATCTTGGTGACTTGAGAATTGTATTCGAGAGGATTAAAAAATATGAACTGAAGATGAACCCTCTCAAGTGTGTATTTGTGGTTTCTTCCTACAAATTCCTGTGATACATTCTTCGACACCGAGGAATTGAAGTTGACCCCAATAAAATCAAGGTGATTATGAATATGTCGCCTCCCATAAACCTTCATCAATTTCCTTCTTTGCAAGGACAACTGGCTTTCATTTGACGATTCATATCAAATCTTTCGGGTAGGTGCCAGCCATTTTCAAAATTGATAAAGAAAGATGTTCGCTTCAAATGGGATAAAGAATGCCGGGAAGCGTTTGATAGTATCAAGAAATACTTATTAAATCCTCACATTCTAGCAACGCCAATTCCCGGGAAGCCTCTTATACTGTATAGATCAGGTCTAAAAAAGTCCCTCTGAGCACTACTTGTAATATCTCGTTCCCTTGCTGTTCCTCTCTTAACTGGGTTTTCCTCTCAGAATCGGCCAGGACGAAGTTGAGATCGTCCAGGCCGATCAGTGCATTGAAAACAGCTGATTTCTGGTGTGTTTTCTGGAAGAATTTCTGTACAGATCGTCCGGGACGATGTTGAGATCGTCCAGGCCGATCTGTACTGTAGAAATTATCGGCCAGACAACAGCCCTGGGAGCTGTCCAGGACGATCAGAATTGGTCTGATCGTCCCGGGACGATGTAGATATCGGCCTGGCCGATCAGTTCACAAATATAAGAAAATCAGCTCGTTTTGAAGAGAGAGAAAAACATTTTTATAAAACGAAAATATCTGAGGAGAGAGAAAGAGCGGAAAAGCAAAGGAAGAAGTTCGATTTCGGGGCCCGCGGAGCGATTTTCATCGTTCGTTGCTGTTGGATATTTTGTTTGTCTCGTGGTAAGGACTCCGAACCCTACTTCTGTTTTCGAAGATTTTGAGGTTTTGTAAAATGGTGCTCAGATTTGTGTTTTTGTAAGTGATTTTCGTACCCAGTTTGGTACTGGCGAAGATTTCACCGCATAACTTTTGGTATAATGTAGATGTGATTATTCTGCACGTTTTGATTATTTATTGGCGGATTTCGTCCGGACCGTTTTGGTTCTGCGGGGTTTTATTTTGACTGCAATTTATTATGATGTCCGAATTGGTTTGAGCAGTAAAAGAATAGTCTTATAATGATGCTGTGTACGTTCTGTATTAATTTGGAGAATTGTGATTTTTGGAGATTTATGTGTAAATTCTGTAGACTGCCGTTGCTCTGCCCGATTTTCGTACGATTTCTGATTTTGATATTGACGGATTTATTGATTTACCGATTTCTGCTTTATTTGGATTTGATCGGATTTACTGTATTGTACGATTTCACTGATTTCATCGATTGATTACCGAGCATCAATTTGATTGACGAATATTGATAGATTGAATTGATTTATCGATTTGCCTGCCGCTGCATTGATTGGTTTTATTGACTATTAATTTCTGGATTGCTTTGACTTATTGATCATGTTCGACTGATTGATTTGACTTGAGTTGATTAACCTGCATATTATTTTCAGTGTCGTGCTTTGATTTCAGTTGTAGGCTTTGGTGACCTGCTGGGCTTTATAAGCTCATTATATGTGGTTAATGATTTCAGGTGCAGGGCCTCCAGCTTGACGATCTTTCTGCCGAGTTCTGTAGCTTTTTCTTTTGTAGCCTTGGTAGGCTTTCTTTTGTAGCCTGTACGGCTAGTGTAGTATTTTCTTTTGGCTGTATTTTGACTCTTGTACTATTTGTGAATTATAGTATCCGCTGCTGTTTCTTTTCTGTAATGTAATTATCTCTGGCTCTGGATATATGTATGTATGGATTGATATGAACAACAGATGAGTAAACCGATAGAAAGGGAAGAAGAAAAAAAAAAAAAAAAAGAGGCAATAGAACAATCAGATGAATCCTTTCGCTATACGGATCTTGGGGTCGTTACACTACTGGCCCAGCATAATGAAGAAGGGAAAGAGAATGTGCTCTACTACATCAGTTGAAGGTTGATTGGAGCGAAAAGCTGTTATTCTCCTATTGAGAAGTATTGCCTAGCGTTGATTTTTGTAGTTCATAAACTCCATCATTACATGCTCTCTCACAAAGTTACTTTGATATCAAAGATCGATCTGTTGAAGTTCTTGATGACAAGACCAGCGTTGACAGGTCGGCTAATCAGGTGGGCAGTACTATTACTCCAGTTTGATATCACGTATATGCCACAAAAGGCGGTGAAAGGTTAAGTTTTGACAGATTTTCTTGCTGCACATCTGATCCCAACAGACTCTCCACTCAATGATGATTTGCCTAATGAGCAGATGATGCAGGTCGAGGAAGTTGAAAAGCTACTATTTTAGGAGATGTACTTTGATGGAGCTTCCTCGATTAAGCCTGCCCGACCTCCGAATGTTACACGGATTCGAGCCGACATCGGTCTCATTTTCGTAACACCTGAGGGAGGCATAATGATGTTTTCATTCAGTTTGACTAAACCTAGGACCAATAATGAAGCCTATTATGAAGCTCTAATAGCATGACTGGAGATCGCAATCGAGCATGTGATCAATTTTTCTATACCCTCAATATTGTCTACAGATTTGGTGTACCACGCCGTATAATCTCAGACAACAGTACTACATTCAAAAGTACAAAAATTTATAATTCTGTTGGCCGGCATAAAAATCGATTAGCAATATTCATTCATATATAATCCAAGGGCAAATGGCTTGGCAGAAACCTTCAACAAACGCTGGTGAAATTATTAAAGAAAATCTTCACCAAGAATAAAAGAGAATGACATATGAAGATGACAGAAGTACTGTGGGCATATCGTACAACCTACAAGACACCGACAAAAGCTACCCCTTATTCATTGGTGTTCGGAGTTGAAGCAGTATTGCCGCTGGAAGTTGAACTACCATCACTCTGTGTAGCAATCCAGAATGATCTTACTCAAGAGCAACATGATCGCTTAAGAATGGAAGAGCTCGATGCACTCGATGAGATTAGATTGCAAGCTCAACAAAATTTGGAAATCTACCGAGGAAGAATGGCAAAATCCTTTGATCGGATGGTACGACCACGGGCATTTTAAGAAGGAGAATTCGACTTGCTTCTGCTGAAAAGACCAATCATCCCACACCGAAAAAATTGATGGCAAAATTCATATATAATTGGGAAGGTTCCTTTGTCATCGATAAGATGTATCAAGAATGAGCGTATTAGTTGATCGATCTGAACGATCAGAGGCCTATGCCACCTATCAATGGCCGACATTTAAAGATGTATCATGCATGAAAATTTCATGACTAATGTACTTTATAATTATCAAAATTTTAAGTGCATAGTCATAAATGTATGCTTATATCTATATTTTGATATTCTCTTATGGAGCAAGAATGCATTTCAAAGCCCTCCATTAGACTGAGGGCATTTTAAATATTTATTCGGGTTAACATCATGCAGTGTCGAGATCCCCGAATAAATATTTAAAATCTCAAAGATACAAAGCATATCCAAAATGTCCATGTGAGACAGGGGGCATTTTAAATATTCATTTGGGTCGATATTATGCTATACGCCAAGATCCCTAAATGAATATTTAAAATCTTAAAATCTAAAATTTATTCTATTTTGAAATTTTCCTGCGAGAAAGGGGACATTTTAAATATTTATTCGGATCAACATCATGCTGCATGCCGAGATCTCTGAATAAATATTTAAAATTATCAACACAAATATTTTCTTATATTGAAGAATACATATTTTTTTTCAAAGTATATGCAGGTGATCTTTCAAAAGTTCAAGACACCATCTTCTCCAACGTACCAAGGTTCAAAAGTTAAGAAATAGACTTTTATAATTACACACTCCAACAAATTGAGCCAAAAAAGCTTGAAGTCGACAGCCTGAAGCTTAATGTTTGAATGGGTGTAAGAGGTCATATCCAACAAGCCCAAATATGGCAAGATAGCTGGCAGCTCCGTCTACTTAACAAGCCAGAAGAAAGGCCGTAGTAGCAGAACCCCCACTTCATCAACCCATTAGTAAGGACTGCAGGAAGAACGAAGGCTAATTTGACTCAACCAGTTCAAGTGATTGTAGTCCATCGAATTCTTCCAAATGACTGGAGAATCAAAGTTCTTGCGGAAGGAGTCACAAACAACTACTAAATGTGCGTAAGCTCTAAATCTTCAACCACAAAGAATGACTCCAAATCTACAAACTTCAGTAAAGTCAATATTGGGAAGTACGTTTCTCATAGCTCAAGTCTGAAGCCTGAATGGGTGTAAGAGGTCAGATCCAGCAAGCCCAAATATGGCCGGATCGCTGGCAGCTCCATTTAGTCAACAAGCCATAAGAAAGGCCGTAGTAGAGGAAGCCCCATTTCAGCAACCAGATGACAAAGAGCTATCAAATCTCAGCTCTCCTGATCTGATGAAACTCAAGTGACTTAGATTAAAGTCTTCTCAAATGGTTAAGGATCAAGATACTATGTACATTTGGTACTATCAACCAAATCCAAAACCTGCAAATCCTTCAACAAATCCGTAAAGCAAAAAGCGAGGATTGAAGGAAATTCTTCTTCAACAAGTCCATTAAAACACAAAGCAAAGGACCAAAGAAAATTATCCCAAAGTTCATGAAAAGCTCAAAGCTGAACTAAGAGGACTCTGTAATCAACAAGTCCGTTAAGCACAAAGCTTTGGACCGATGACTTTTCTTCATTGACCTATTAGAAACCTAAGGGTTTAGGTCATCGGCATCTGCTCCTTCATAAAGCCCGCAAAAGCAAGAAGCATATGGCCGAAGGTATAAAAATTATCTGACAAGTCAGTAAAAGAAAAATCAGGTGATTCTTCATCAATGTCTGCAGCACAAAGCACAGGACAGAAGGGATCAAAATCTAAAGACTCAAGTCAAAGCCATGGAGTGAGCACCCTGGATGATACCTATAAATGTCCCTAAAGATTGTGGGCATTTTAAAAATTTATTTGGGTCGACATCGCGCTACATGCCGAGATCCCCAAATAAATATTTAAAACTTCTTACCAAAATACAGCAAAAGGATGGAAGATCCTATATAAACTGAGTGTACTATCAACAGAAAGTGATTGTATAAAATAAATATCACATCCCTACGTGATAGAGGCAAAGAAGAATGTCGAGCATATACAAAAATGTTGAAAACCAAGAAAGCAGTGGTGCAAAAGTAGGGCAAGAGTTGATAATGCTATCCACTAGCATCAATTTACAGAGCAATGCTTTTAGAATCTAAGATTGAAGTGCTCTACACTATCCCATGGAGCTCTACTTGATCAAGAACAAATATGTCAGCTATATTGAAGATTACAAATACATCTAAAGATTCACAAAGGAGACCTACTAAATGAAAATCTTAGTGTGACATCCAGAAAAATTTTTCGAGATCCACTAAAAGAAAACTAGTGTGACATCCAAATAAGTTTTTAGGAATCCACTAAACGGAAGCCCTAGTGTGACGTCTAGAACAAATATCTAGAGAACCATATGGTCAATTAGCATACAATAAACGTGGTTCGCTCTAGATGCGTGCCATATTTGTTTGGGGCATTTGTTGACCTCCACTTAGGCATGCAAAAAAAAATTGCTAAAATGAAATAATTACTTGCTCTTTTCCATACCCCCATCCCATATCCAGCCCATTATGAAATCTTGCTCAAGTCATATCCCACCACATCTAAAGTAATCATTACTATGCAAAACGGTGCCATCTCAAAGATGGCAATACACAAATCTTGTCTCGATCCCGCCTCTTCCTTCACCTTTAAAATGCGATGAAGGCTCTACTTCTTCCTCTCTAGCACGCGACGAAGCCTCCATCCCGTAGAGATCTCGGCCCCTACAAGCCCAATTCAACACTTCTCCAAGTCCTGCCTTCTCCCTACTCTTCCTGTCGCCCTTTCTATTCGCAAGCCTTCGGCTTCATCTGGTCGAGAGAGAGAGAGAGAGAGAGAGAGAGAGAGAGAGAGAGAGAGAGAGAG